GCGCGTGAAAGGGAAGAGTTGCGCAAGAACTTGCAGCATCATCGTGATCAAATGTGATATAGGCGAGCTCTCCGAACGCTCACAAAGGATACGTATGGACACGCGCCCCCCGAACGTTTACAAGCATCTTCCTGGTTATCCTCCTCACTCCTCCGCATGAGGAGGACGACGGCAAGGAGGAGGGGGAGGAGGAGGAGGAGGAGGAGGAGGAGGAAGGAGGAGGAGGAGAAGGGAGGAGAGGAGGAGGAGGAGGAGGGGGAGGAAGGAGGAGGAGGAGGAAGGAGGAGGAGGAGGGAGGAGGAGGAGGAGGAGGAGGAGGAGGAGGAGGACCAGCAGCAGTGGCAGCAAGAGCAGGAACAGAGGGTGAGGAGGGGACGGGGAGGAGAACGAGGAAGAGGAGGAACAGGAGCAGGATCCTCCGCATGAGGAGGACGACGGCAAAAACGACAATCGTGGGAGGAGGGGGAGGAGGATGAGGAGAGGAGGGGAGGAGGAGGAGGAGGAGGGGGAGGAAGGAGGAGAAGGAGGAGGAGGAGGATCAGCAGCAGTAGCAGCAAGAGCAGGAAGAGAGGGTGAGGAGGGGACGGGGAGGAGAACGAGGAAGAGAAGGAACAGGAGCAGGAGGAGGAGGAGGAGGAGGAGGAAGACGAGGCGGAGGAGAATGACAGATAATGAGGAAGAACGAGAGGAGGAGGAGGAGGAGGAGGAGGAGGAGGAGGAGGAGGAGAAGAAGGAGGAGGAGGAGGAGGAGGAGAGGAGGAGGAGGAGGAGGAGGAGGAGGAGGAGGAGGAGGAGGTGGATAAGCAAGAACAGCAGGCGGAAGAGGAGGAGAAGGAGGAAGAGGAGAAGGAGTAGGAGAAGGAGAAGGAGGAAGAGGAAGAGGAGGAGGAGCAGAAGGAGGAGGAGGAGGAGGAGGAGGAGGAGACCAGATGGCTTCGAGGGCCCGTTCGAAGGCATTTTGTAAGGGAAGTCTCGAGTGAAACGTTGATTTTTCAACGAAAATGTGAAAAAAAACACTTGGGCTTTTCCATATTTTCGCTTCTTGGGCCATCTTGGGGGCCATCCGAGACCGCTCCGAAAAGATGCCTTACAAGAGCTGTGCTGGCATCCCATTTTATCGAGGATGTCTCCGGCGAAACGCCCATTTTCGAGGAACCGAGAATTAGGACGTCGATTTCGACATCCCGATGTTTTGAGGATGTCCCGAGCGAAACGCCAATGATTAGCAAACGACGTCTTAAGACACGACCCCCAACTTCACGATTTTGTGAGGATGTCTCGAGCGAAACGCTCATTTGGGGAACCTTTCTTGACATGAACGGGAAGCGCGTGAAATCGAAGAGCTTGGCAAGAACGTGCACCAACATTAAAGTCACATGTCACGTAGGCGCTCTTCCCACACGTGCACAAGGGGTACCAGGTGGAGTTCACTACCCGCGCAAGTTCAGACGTGGCGCTCACCCCGAACGTCCACAAAGGGTACCAGATGGAGTTCACTACCCGCGCAAGTTCAGACGTGCCGCTCACCCACAACGTCCCCAAAGGGACCAGATCGAGTTCACTACCCGCGCAAGTTCAGACGTGGCGCTCACCCCGAACGTCCACAAAATGTACCAGATGGAGTTCACGACCCGCGCGAGTTCAGACGTACCGCTCACCCCGCATGTCCACCAAAGGCACCAGATGGATTTCACTACCCGTGCGAGTTCAGAATTGGCGCTGACACCCACGGCGAGATCATGATCATCATCACCGTCGTCATCATCATCATCATCATCATCATCATGACGATTTACTCGGCCAATAGAATGATATCCCAAAGCGATTCATCACAGGCTTGCCACCAATCAGCATATAATTATACTGCTCTATGTCCCAGGGCGGGTCGGGTCGGGAACAACAGAAGGCTATGAGCACGGGACGGGCGAGGCACGCGACGCTCTTGCTACCTTCCCCCTACTCGTGTCACTGTACGGCCCCCATGTCGTCATTACTGTGCGCGCACTCTCATGACGATTTACTCGGCCAATAGAATGATATCCCAAAGCGATTCATCACAGGCTTGCCACCAATCAGCAAAGAATTATACTGCTCTATGTCCCCAATCACCATCAAGAGGTCCCGAATCTCAGACATGTTTTGGCCTCGGGCGGGTACGGGAGGGAGAGGCCGATCCTGGAGGGGTGGCCGTCCGTGCCACCGAACTCGCAACGTGCTTCTGGGCCCACAGGAATCTGAAGGCGCATGCGATAGCAGTGCAGAGACGAGGTGGGTAATGTTTAGCACGGTCGGTCTTCCATTCAGCATTTTCTTTTTCCTTCAAGATGTCGTGGGGTTTTCCTGACCTAGAGCATATATCGATTTGCCCACACATCTTCGGATCAGGAAGGAGTTGTCGAGATCTGAGGATACAAGATGGTGGTCCGTTTCCTGAAGTCAGTCCCGAACTGGCCTAGGTCGAAAACAACAGACTCAGCGAACTTGGATTCTGCGATGTGCTTCAAAAGCTGGACGAACCAGAGCATAGCAGAGGAGGGGTTCCCGATCATGAACGGTACTCAGGAGAACGAACAGCACTCTGCGATACTGAATGAGCGGCATGGCGTAGCCACGAATATTCCCTGCACGCGGCCCGAGCGGATCAACTTCAGAAGTGCCTTTATTATTCCAGGCGCAAAAATGTCGATCTCAGGCTCGAGCTGTATCTCTGGCGACGAGATGCCACACCTCGCCACCGTCTTGCCGACTCCCTCGGAACCAGCGAAGATGTTGAGGAAAAGGGTCGCCTCGCTCCAACCAGGCGGTCGGGGCGCGCTCACCGCGCCGAGGAGGAAGTCTCCAAGGTGCGCCGTGCAGAGCCAGAGGTACTCCTGGACGCTGTCGTCTAGGCCCACGAGCAGAAAGTTGACCTTGCTGGACTTCTCGTGCCTGATGCGAGAGCTCATGCTGGCCCAGCGCCAGCGACGCTGGACCCTCACCTGAGACCTCCTGCCCGTGATGACGCCCCACGACTGGCCTGCGTGCCGAAGGCCGTAGGGGGCGATCCCCAGGCCCTCGAGCCGGCACACCTTCAGCGCCTTCGCGACCATGGCCCCGAGCTCCGCCTGCGTCAGGCCCCACAGCGAGTCGCTCGCCCCCTTCTCCTGGCGGTACAGCTTGAAGAAGTGGCCGAAGAACTGCAGGTTCTCGTGGTCCATCGTCACGTTGTCGTCGTAGACGCCCGTCTTGGTGGGGCCTTCGTTGCTGTCCGCAGGCCCCAGGATCAGCGACCACTTCAGCCCAGTCCGCCCAGTCCAGGAGGGTCGTCTCCAGCGAGTCCAGGGTGCTGACGTCCAAGCCCTGGCGGCGGGAGTACTCGTAGAACTCCTCGATCCGCCTGTGGTAGTCCTCGACCTGGACGGGCCTCACAGCGAAGCCTGAGGCGACTGCCCGTCTTCCAGTGGCACAGCTTCGCGCACTCGAAGGTCGGGAAGATCCAGATGCATCGCTGGCCCCGCCTCGACCCGCTGCGTCACGTTGCGCGTCGCGATGCCTGTCGCCACTCTGCGCCTCGTCGCATGCACCCTCGACGCCACGCCCGTCATCAGGATGGGGGGGCCCAGGAGGAGGACGCCATGCATGGCCCAGAGCAGCAGCTCCAGGTTCCCAAAGCCGCGAAGGTTGATCAGCAGGATTAACCTCGGACGGGACCCAGCGGCACCGTACCCGCAGCCCAGTGGCGAGCTGCAGCGCGGTCATCTGACGAAGCTGGCCCACGAGGGCTGGATCGCGACAGCGGCCCTTATGCATGGCCAGCGTGAGTGACAGATTGTCCACCAGCATGAGCGCCTTGCTGTGCCGCCAGCGCCCGCAACGAACCACGTGCTTGAACCCGAGCTTGGCGCCCCTCGCCTCCTTCTTGATCCTCCAGCGCTCGTCGTAGCTGCCCGTGATTCGTATATCTGGAGAGCCCCACTCAGCAGCACAGGCGCCAAGCCCAGTATCGCAAGCATCCGTCGCCACCACCTGGATGCGCCAGCCAGCCCCGATGTCGGCGTAGACCAGCGGCAGGAGGGCAGCGGCGATGAGGAGCTCCCTCTTGACGCTCCGCCAGAGGTTCTTTGGCTCCCCTCCTGCAGCCTCGGCAAAGGCAGGGGAGGCCGCGATGCAGGACAGACAAGGGCGCCGAAGCAAGCAAGCGAAGCAGAGGTGCCCAAATGTGGCTCGCATCTCCCTCCCAGTGCAGCGCCCGCGTCGTGCGCGAGCACGCAGCCCCGAGTACAGTTGCCACGCTCTGGCGGGGGATACTCTGACCACCTTCTTGCCCCCCTCGAGGTGCACTCCCACGATGTCCAAAGAAGTGCTGACCTGCTCGATCTCATGCACGTGAAAACCTGCGTGCCGAATGCCTTCGAGAGCCTGACGACGCGCGGCCTCAACCTCGGCCTTATCACAGCCGAAGACCCCGAAGTTGTCGACGCATGTCAGCTGAACAGGTCCCCCCTCAAGCGAGGGAGGAGGCATGCAGTCACGCACGAAGAAGGCGAGCTGGAGGAAGACCAGCCCGCCGCAGGAGCTCCTCATGGACGAGTTGGGCCGCCCTCACTGCCCACGAAAAGCCCACCGGTAGTGACTGCCGAGCCGGGTAGAAGAGCTCGCTGGGACCAACCTTGATACCATTGATGCTCTCCACCCCCACAGCCGCGGCACCGACTGCTGGTAGAGCAAGGTACTGAGGGAGCTCCTCATCGATCCTGAGCTCGTGGAGGTAGTCCTTAATATCAAGGCTGGCCAGAAAGATGGTCTGGTCAGATGCGCACTGAAGACGGCTGAGCGAGTTGCCAGTAGCAAGATGTATTGAGTCTGGGATGTCCAATCGTAGGTTGGTCCCTCGTGCATCGCATATAAGTCGTAATTCACCACTCTTTTTGTGAACAAAGAACAATCCCACCCTTTCTTCGTAGGTTCGAGTCCAGCGCGCCAGTCGCCTGTCACGCAGATCCCGACAAAAACCCTCCCACTTCGCAGGATGTGCCTCCAGCACTGGGTCAAAGTAAGGATTGGGCAGTCCCTCGCTCTTGATACACAATGCACACTCCTCGTCACTGAGAAGGATGGCGTCGCGAAACCGCTTAAACTTGTGCGACGCGTCCGAGGGCAGAACGTTGTAGATGCCCACCCCGTGCAGGTCGCGACTCGGCGGAGACACTGAAGCCGAGCCAAACGGTGCAATGTTCCCGGCACACTCGCTGTCACCATAGCGGGCGTCTGTACGCAGAAGCGCCGCGAGGGCTTCTTGCGGGGCGGGTCTCTCCTTAGGCATGGGCACAGCTTCAACCGCTTCATGAGCCCGGGCAGCAGCAGCACGAGCCTGCTCACCACCAGGACCGATGGGCGACTTGTCACCGAAGCCCCCAAGCACGCTGAGACCCAAAAAAATTCTCGTCGGCGCGCCTGTCGATCCAAGCACGCCGGCAAATACGTTGATGAACGCCACGACTGAGTGAGCTACGAGGGCCTTCCCAATCATGAAGTCGAGGCAGGGGTAGAGGGCCACGCTGTCGACCGTCCGCCATGCCTTGGTCAAAAACTCGTCGCAGCCCTCGCAGAAGACAGCAACTCGGAGGCGGCCCAAGTCGGGCCACGAAAATCGAAATACCGCGGGGCGGCTAGCCCTTCTTCGCAAGGGCCGCCTCCTCGCGGGCCTTGCGTCGTTCTTTCTGGATCGCAGCCTCGCCTTGGAGCTGCAACGCCACGCGCGAGGTGAGTAGCGGCGCCACGGCCGCGACTTTCCTGCCAAGGCCCTGGAAGTGCTCGCTCCCCTCGAACCGCGGCGCCTTCGGGTTGGACGTGTACGCCTCCTCCAGCAGCTGAATCCTCCTCGACAGGATCTCGAAAGAGGCGAGGGCAGACACGTCCAGCTGGTCATATGTGAGCGCTGTCTCAAGAATCTCCATGAGACTGCCATGCTCGTGCTTGACTCTGTCGTTGTCCGGCACGTGTGCGTCTCGCATCCACTTCTCGGTCCTGGTGCGGGGCACGCCCCCCTGATCTCTGATGAACTTGCACAGCCAGAGAGTCGTTCTTGGGCCAACCACCGGGAAGTCGTCGAACCGTGGCTCCTCCAGAAGCCCGACGGCATTAGTGTAGGCCCTGAACCTCTGGCCCGTCTGGTCGCACAGCACGGGCAGCACTCGAGCGTCAGCCGACTTGAGCGGCACTGCAACCGCCGGCCCGTCTCCAATCGCTTGAGGTCCGAGGCCAGCTCCTGGCAGACCGGGCCCAGAAGCTCGGTCCACCGCCTGCTCGAGCTCGCCCTTCCTCGAGACCAGCACATTCTTCTTGTTGCCGACCGCGATGCTCTCCAGCACGAGGGTGGCCGTCCCAAGCTTGACCAGCGCGAACTTGCCCATGACACTGGCCGTGGCGTCCACGCTCCAGTCGGACCCGATGGAGGGCGCTCCCGGCTGGCCGTCGCTCGCCACCACGATCCGCTGCATGCCAGGGGCGGGACCGCCTCCGGGCGCCACCACTGCCCCCATGGCTGCTCCAGCCCCTGGGATGGCGGCGCCCACACCCACGGCGGCGAGCGGTACAGCAGGCGGGGCGGCCTGGCCGTCGGCCGCGGGGGCCGCGCCCACGTCTGCCACCAGAGCCCCGAACCCGGCGCCGGCTCCAGCTGGCGGCGTTCCAGCCGGCAGGCCCGCCCCGGCGGTCCAGCCATGTTGACCCACCCGATCACGCACAGCACCAGACTCAGCATCAGCAGCGTCGTCGTCGATGCCCAGCCCCGCCCTCTCCATCTGTGCGGTCGCGATCCCGTCGTCGAAGACCTGACGCCACTCCGCCGCCGTGTACAGCTGGCCAAGCGGCGGGAACCTGTACAGCAGAGCGTTGGCGGGGATCGCCGGTGGCACAGACCCTTGCAGGCAAGGCGTGCCTCCGAGGGCACGGATATCCTCTGGATAGACATCGCCATCAGGAGTGACGATGACCCAAGTCGTTCCCCGCACCTTGCAGAGCAGGAGGCGCTCGTGCCAGTACGCCTCCCCGCCCCCGTACCACACCAGAATCAAGCGACCTGGGGCGATCGGCCTCGAATCGGCCATGCACCGCCCGGCGAAGCCCCGAGCCGAACAAGGCCCCCGCGCAGCAGCCCGTCGCCAGCCCGAAGAGGCCCGCGACCACCACCGCGACGATCCACCACCTGCTGAGGTCGGGCGCCGCCCTCGGGCAGCTGACCTCTGGACAGCTCGGGCAGGCCGCGCCCCGGAGCGTGCAGGGCGGGCACTGCAGGGCAGGGCACGCCAGGCTGGGAGTGCAGGTGCAGTCGGGGCACACCTGCGCGGTCTGCCCAGCCCACACCAGGCTCGCGGTGCCCGCCGTACGCAGCGTCTCCCGCGCAGCCTCCAGCACGGCGTCCGCGAGCCACTTTGGCATGCACGGGCTGGAGTGGCGGCGGCGGGCGGCGCGCGCGAACCTCCTGAACAACAGAAGGCTATGAGCACGGGACGGGCGAGGCACGCGACGCTCTTGCTACCTTCCCCCTACTCGTGTCACTGTACGGCCCCCGTGTCGTCATTACTGTGCACGCACTCTCATCATCATCATCATCATCATCATCATCATCATCATCATCATCATCATCATCATCATCATCATCATCATCATCATCATCATCATCATCATCATCATCATCATCATCATCATCATCATCATCATCATCATCATCATCATCATCATCATCATCATCATCATCATCATCATCATCATCATCATTACCGTCATCAACCTCATCGCTATCATCAGGGAGGGCTGAACTCGCGCGGGGAGTGAACTCCACCTGCTGTGGGCGAGTATTTTTTGAGGATTCTCGAGCGAAACGCTCACTTCCCGGAAAGATCTCTGTGGTTTGTGGGTCCTCGGATGAAGAGAACGGTGGCCCCGCCCGCCCCCGCGCGTTCTTCCTCTCATCTCCTTCCCTCCTACCTCTTCCTCTCCTCTCCCCTCCCTCTCCTCCTCCTCCTCCCTCCTCCTCCTCCTCCTTTCCTTCGCCTCCCTCCTCACCCTCCTCCTCCTCCTTCCTCCTCCCTCCTGCCTCCTCCGCCTCTCCTCCTCCTCACTCCTCCTCCTCCTTCTCCTCCTCCGCCCCTCCCTCCTCCTCTCCCCCTCCTCCTCATCTCCCTCCTCCTCCTCCCTCCCTCCTCCTCATCCTCCCTCCTCTTTTTATTTTCCTCCCTCCTCCTCCTCCTCCTCCTCTCCTCCCCCTCCTCCTCCTCTCCTCCTCTCCTCTCCTCTCCTCCTCTCCCCCCTCCTCCTCCCCCTCCTCCTCCCTCCTCCCCCTCTTCCCTGCGTTTCACCCACCCAGTACAACGTTTCGTAGCCCCATAGGAACTCCACCGAAGGCCCCAGTGCCCGCGCCCGCATGCGCCACCCACACCCAATTCGGCACACCCCTCACACGTTTCGTGGCTCCATAGGGAGCTCCACCGAAGGCCCCAGTGCCCGCGCCCGCATGCGTCACCCACACCCATTCCGGCACACCCCTCACACGTTTCGTGGCCCCATAGGGAGCTCCGCCGAAGGCCCCAGTGCGCCGCGGACGCATGGCGTCACCCACAAAATTTCGCACACCCCTCACACGTTTCGTGGCCTCCATAGGGAGCTCCACCGAAAGGGCCCCGGGCCGCGCCACCGCATGCGTCACACGCACACATTCGGCACCACCCCCACACAGCTTCCCGGCCTATACCCCATAGGGAGCTCCAACGAAGGCCCCCAGTGCCCGCGCCCGCATGCGTCAGCCACACCCATTTCGGCACACCCCTCACACGAATTCGTGGCCTCCATGGGAGCTCCGCCGAAGGCCCCAGTGCCGCGCCCGCTGCGTCACGCCTCGCAATTGGTCACCCACACCCCATTTCGGCACACCCCTCACACGTTTCGTGGCTCCATAGGGAGCTCCACCGAAGGCCCCAGTGCCCGCGCCCGCATGCGTCAGCCACACCCATTTTGGCACACCCCTCACACGTTTCGTGGCTCCATAGGGAGCTCCTCCGAAGGCCCCAGTGCCCGCGCCCGCATGCGTCAACCACACCCATTCCGGCACACTCCTCACACGTTTCGTGGCCCCATAAGGAGCTCCGCCGAAGGCCCCAGTGCCCGCGCCTGCATGCGTCACCCACACTCATTTCGGCACACCCCTCACACGCTTCGTGGCTCCATAGGGAGCTCCACCGAAGGCCCCAGTGCCCGCGCCCGCATGCGTCAGCCACACCCATGTCGGCACACCCCTCACACGTTTCGTGGCTCCATAGGGAGCTCCACCGAAGGCCCCAGTGCCCGCGCCCGCATGCGTCACCCACACCCATTTCGGCACACCCCTCACACGTTTCGTGGCTCCATAGGGAGCACCACCGAAGGCCCCAGTGCCCGCGCCCGCATGCGTCACCCACACCCATTTCGGCACACCCCTCACACGTTTCGTGGCTCCATAGGGAGCTCCACGGAAGGCCCCAGTGCCCGCGCCCGCATGCGTCAGCCACACCCATTTCGGCACACCCCTCACACGTTTCGTGGCTCCATAGGGAGCTCCACCGAAGGCCCCAATGCCCGCGCCCGCATGCGTCAGCCACGCCCATTTCGGCACACCCCTCACACGCTTCGCGGCCCCATAGGGAGCTCCGCCGAAGGCCCCAGTGCCCGCGCCCGCATGCGTCAGCCACACCCATTTCGGCACGCCCCTCACGCGTTCCGTGGCCCCATAGGGAGCTCCGCCGAAGGTCCCAATGGGTGTGCCCGCATGCGTCCCGCACACCCATTTCGGCACACCCCTCGGCCCCAGTGCCCGCGCCCGCATGCGTCAACCACACCCATTTCGGCACACCCCTCAAACGTTTCGTGGTCCCATGGGGAGCTCCACCGAAGGCCCCAGTGCCCGCGCCCGCATGCGTCAGCCACACCCATTTCGTCAACTCCCTCACACGTTTCGTGGCCGCATAGGGAGCTCCACCGAAGGCTCTAGTGGGTGTGCCCGCATGCGTCCCGCACGCCCATTTCGGCACACCCCTCGTACGTTTCGTGGCCCCGTAGGGGGCTCCACCGAGAAGATGTTCACAATTGCAGTATTCACGATTGCATATGGTTGGGTCCTTCGCCAGGATAACGTTTGAACAAAAGTGTTGGAAAACCAATGGTGTTTCAATGATTTTGCCTTTGGGGCCATCTTGGAGGTCCTCCAAGAGCATCCCCCAAAGATGCCGTACAACAGCTACTTCGGCATCTCATTGTTTGGAGGATGTCTCAGGCGAAATCGACATTTTCGAAGATCCGAAGGTTTCGCAAGCGATTTCAACATCTGAATTTTCTGAGGATGACCCAGGCGAAACGCTAATTTGTGGCATAAGAAGTATTAGAGCAGCTTGTTCGACATCCCACTTGTTCGAGGATGTCTCAGGCGAGAGCCCCATTTTCGAAAATCCGAAAATTTCGCGACCGAATTCAGCATCCCGATTTTGGGAGGATGTCTCAGGCGAAATCGTCATTGTTAACATAAAACGTCTTAAACGATAGCCTCCAACATCTCTATTGTGTGAGGATGTCTCAGGCGAAATGGCCATTCTGGGGAACCTGACCAGGCAAGAACGGGAAGCGTTGCTTTAGTCCACCAAGCATGTGGAAAATGCTCGGTTGTTGTTATGCCGCGCAGGTATGCCGTGGCGCGCGTGTCGGCGTGCGTGCGGGGTGTGTTTTGCTGTGCTCCTGTGTGTTCTGCCGTGCTCCTGTTCTGCCGTGCTTCTGTGTTCTGCCGTGCCTCTGTGTGCTCTGTGTGTTCTGCCGTGTTCCTTGGATTGGCGCCCCGCGGATCGTCGCGGTGATCGTTTGGCCAGAGCTCTGGGCGAGCACGGCAGAAAAGATCAGGAGCACTGCAGAATCAGAAGCCGCAACCGAGCGAAGGAGGACCGCACGAGAAAGACAAGGAACACGGCAGGAATAGACCCCAAGAGCAATTGAGTACGGCAGAAGCAAATGAGTACGGCAGCATACACCCCAAAAGCTAAGGAGCACGGCAGAAATATACCAGGAAGACGGCAGAATAGGACCTCAAGGTTGCCCAAGAGCTAAGGAGCAGGACAGAAAAAAAGACCAGGAGCACGGCAGATTTGGCCCTCCAAGAGCTAAGGAGCAGCGCAGAAAAATTAGCCTGGCGAAGAACCCAACCATATGCAGATGTCAGTACCGCAGCTGCGGGTTTCATCTTCAATGGAACTCCCCATAGGACTACGGAACGTGTGAGGGGTGTGCCGAGATGGGTGCCACTGGGGCATTCGGCGAAGCTCCCTAAGGGGACATGAAACACGCGCGGGCCGTGCCGATATGGGTGGCGGAAACGCATGTGCGGGCCGCCACTGGGGCCTCCAGTGGAGCTCCCTATGGGTCCCCGAAACATGATGCTGCTGCGGGGGGGGGGGGCCGGGATGGGCGGCGGAGACGCATGTAAGCGCCGCTACTGGGGCCTTCGGTGGAGCTCCCTATGGGGCCACGAAGCGCGTGAGGGGTGTACTGGGATGTGTGGCGGGGACGCATGTGAGCGCCGCCACTGGGGCCTTCG